TGCGGGGGGCTGCGGGGGATGGGCAGACAAGCAAGGAACACTGGGGGTAGGAGAACAGACTGGGGGAAAAGAAAAAACTACACGTTGTTAAGAAAACATTGAGCGGAGAGCTGCAGCCAGGAAATGTTCAGCACGCGTTTTCTGGTTGCTGGGGCATCAGAAACCAACTCTTCATCTCATGCTTGGTCTCACCTACTGCCAGCTTTTGCTTTTATTTCAGGAGTGTTCGAAGACAGGGAGGAAGGGACAGGGAGCAGGAGAAACTGGCTGCTTCCAAAGCTGGCTAGAGGAATATTCAGGAAAACAAAGGAAAGGTCACCCTGTGTGTCCCACAGATGCTGTCCCCTACTGCAGCAGGCTCAACGAACCCCCCACAAAAGACCTGAGGTCCATAAGAAGCAGTGCTTTTAAGCTTTTCTTGTTTGCCTCCAGTACTTCAAGGAGTGAGAGAGCACTTCCTGCCCTTGTCGGTAACCCAAGGCTGATGCTTGGGCATGGAGTCCCCCCTTTTCTGACCCCCCTCTCAGACTTGTTCTTAGGGTCCCGCAGAGCAGAGGTATGGCTTGGTGGCTCCCCTGGGACTGCCCTTCTATCTCCCCCCACCACCCTCCGGCCGTGGCCACCACTGCAGCCACACAGATGGGTCCCCAGCCTGCTGTGGACTGCAGTCCCCTGACTGGCAGCAGGGCCCACTCCCTGCTTGGTTCTTGACTTGCCTTTCTGGTGGGAGCTGGAGGGGAGCACACTTCTTGGTGGGGAGGTGCATTCTCATGCAGGTCCCAGAGGGTGGTACAGTCCAGGGGTTCCTGGGGGGTGCCATGGAGCAGCTCTTTGAGAAGAGATCTCTACTCCTGACCTTGTTCCTGGATGCAGGTGGGAGGAAGGGGTGGGGAGGGCGCACTCTGGTGTCCCTGCGGAGCTGTGGCCTTCATCCCATCCCACTTTCCACCTGTTGCCAACAAAGATAGCAGTTGCCTGAGAAAGTTAGCCTCTGGACTCGGCTTCCGGTTATAGTTCAGAACATTCTGGAGCAACAGATTGCAGGCGAGACTCTTCTGCCTTCTGTCTCTGTTTCAGAGCAGGACTGTGTGGCCAAGAGGTGGGTTTAGAGCTGTCCCCTCAGGTCTCCAGTTAGACCAGCTTGGCCCTGGTCTTGAACTTACGTGTCCAGCTGTGTTTAATACCTCACAGCCAGTGTGGCTCTGGGGCATGTCAGGGTAGGAGGAGGGGACGTGCTGTTGACGTGGGGATTTGGTTCTGGGATGCTGGCAGTCACCCCCACCCCTGCTCCTCCCTCTGTCTTCTGCCTGTGTCGCACACCGATGGCAATAACTTCTTCTGGCTCCTCCCCGCAGATGCAGGAGGGCCCGTAGCCTGCGCTGCGTGGGGGCTTCTCTCTTCCTCCCCGCTTCCTTCTGTTCTGGCTGCAGAGGTCCGTTCATCCCAACTCTCACTCCCTCACAGCATCTCTTGTCCCTTGCTTCCCTTTGTGGATGTGGGTCTTGCCTTTTAAATTCCTGTGCTTCAGTGTCTCCCTCTCATCTACTACCTGGGATCATCTGTCGCTGTCTTGATATGTGATGGGAATGTGCTTGTAAACCACGCATCAAATTGACTCTGTGTATATGTATGCTATGGGGATGGTTTGTTCCTTTCACTGGTCACTAGACCACTTCGTGCGACCATCTGTGGTCTGAGCAGGCCAGGGGCAGACAGCTCAAGTCCGGCCCTCTACAGTTGAGCCTGCTGGGGGGCCCAGCTGCTCTTAGATAAGTGACTGAGCTCCTGTCTGGCCTCCTCGCTCTTTCTCTCACTCTCTCTTTTTTTTAAGTAATTTGTGTGTATTTCTAACTGATCGTATTAAAAAAAAAATCCTAGTATTTCAGTAAAACGCCTGTTGTGAGATGAACCTCTGTAACTTCTATCTGTTCTTTTTTGAGGCTCAGGGAGAAACTAGCATTTTTTTTTTTCCAAACTACTTTTTGTCACTGTGACAGTTGTAAATAAAGTTTGAAAATGCTTTCCAGTCAGGCCTGGTTTCCCTCTTTCTTCCTGCTACATTGGAGTGGAGTCTATTTGGGACAAAGGTCAATGCTCACAGGAGGCTGCGTTGAGGGGAGTCCTGAGCGAGGCCCCTCGTGTTTGCTGGGTGACTTCACCCACGGATTTTTACCACCTGGCTGGATGAAAGCCACCTTTCTTTCCTTCAGTATGAGTGGTTCTCAGTTCTGGATGCACATAAGAATTACCTAGGGAGTTTTAAAAACAAATACCACAGCTTTATCCAAGAGATTTGGATTTCAGTGACATGGGGTGGCGTCCAAGGATTCATATTTTCTAGAATCACCTGGGGAGATTTTAACCTGAAGCCAAGTTTTGAACAATCCTTCTAAAGGAAAAGAAGCTCAAGATGTAAGGTTGATCACAAAGGCTGGGTGTGCGGTGGGGTAGGTGAGTGGTTGTACCTAGGTGTAGGTACAGAGAGATCAAGCAGTCATTCAAACCGTTTGAGTGCCCCCTCACTACTTGTCAAGTAAGAGGTGGAAGACACAAATTAGCAACAGTCTTAGCCAGGTATATTGGCACCTGCTTGTATTACCAGCACCTTGGGAAGATGAGGCAGGAGGATCCCAAGTTTGAGCCCAGCTTGGACAATTTAGCAATTTAGCAAGACCCAGTCTCAAAATATAAAATAGTGGCTGGGCTGGGGATTTAGCTCAGTGGTTTAGCCACCTGCCTCACAAGTACAAGGTCCCAAGTTTGATCCCTGGTACCAGGAAAAAAAAATAGTGACTGAGTATGTAGTCAAAGCAAAGACTCTGTGTTCAATCCCCAGTACAAGAAAAACTAGTAGTAGTCTTGCCTCTCATGGCAGTTTGAGTGTAAAATTAAATGAGAAATATGGTTACATGCAAAGCAAGAAAAAGCTGGGATGCTCTCTCAGAGTGAATATCAGTTTTGAAGGTCAGAAAGCGTTTTAGGAAAAATGACAAGGATTTAGATGACGAGTAGCAGGGAAAAGGGGTTTGGAATACATGGTGGAAATGCCTGTTTCTACCAGGGAGAAGAGCTTGACTGGTAGGGGTGAGGAAGGAAGTCATGCAGGGCTGGGGGTTTAGCTCAGTGGTTCTGATGCCTGTCCCTCAAGTGCAAGGTCCTGAGTTTGATCCCTAGTACAAAAAATTAAAGGAAAGAAAGAAAAAATCATGCAAAGAGGGCTTCTGAGGCCTGGATGAAAAGTTTAGCTTTTATTCTAAGTGCAGGAGCTAGCAGGGCCTGATTTACATTTTCACACAACCTGGCTCAATGGAAATGGGTTGAAGTGGGCAAGATGAGAAGGAGGCTTCATGGAGGTCAGAATGAGAGAAAATGGTGTTTTGTAGACGAAATCTTGGAACATTTTTCTAACATGACTGAATATTTGTCTTCTCAGCCCTCTCCTGACATCCTGACCATAATGAATATAGGTGGTAATCAAGTGATCTGTACTGAGGATACTTCCCAGTATTAATAGAGTACCAATCCATATTAACGTTAGCCTTAATGAAGCCTCTACATCTGTGGATCTGCTTCCCTGCAGATCTGTTCATCCTTATGTTGGAAGACCTACTGCTTCCTTCTAACAGCCTGGACATTGAGTTTATTAGAGTATGGATTCCTTGAACATGGCTTCTGAGCATTTGTCTTTATTGGAAAATCTTATGAAACTATAACTAGTCAATAAAGGCTATTATGATAACTAACATATGAATTTAGCATGCTTTTAGGATCTAAACTCAATATACAGAATCGGTTGCATTTCTCTACTCTAGTAAGGATCAAGAAATGAAAATTTAAAACAGCATTTATATTATCATCAAAAAATATAAGGTACTTAAGGATAAATCTGACCAAAGATATATAAAACTTGGTCAATAAAAACTACAAGACCTTCTAAGAATACTTAAAAAAAAGGCATATATTAATGAAAGATATACCATGTTCATGGATCTGAATGACTCGATATTGTTAAGATGTCAGCTCCTGGGCTGTAGGATACAGCTCTGTAGTACAGTGCTTCCTAGGATGCACAAGGTCTTCGGTTCGAT